TACGAGGACTCAATTTTTCACGATATCATCGAAGTTTCGACAACTCCGCGTCATGTGCCTAAAGTTACCACGCCCAGACCATCTCTGCGACCAACTAGATCCAGTTCTATACCGCTGATTTTATTGGGCGGTGCCAGCCAAAACGAGCTCGTGCGCACACCACCGATGAAGTTCTCTAAGACAGTGAGTCTCGTAGGTACTTCCGTCTCACCTCTGGTAAAACATCCTTACCCGTTCGTTATGGACAACACTCAGAAACCATTGAAGATTTGTATGAATCCCATGCATTTGAATATGTATACGACTACGAGGAGGCCGTCTTTGCTACAAAGACTCCTTAACTCTATATTACCAGCAAGAGGAAGATAGGTAGTGATGGTTACCATTAATTGTGATATTACAGTTTCTGTATTCATTGTTGTTACAAATATTATAATAATGTAAATAGAATAAGGATATGTCACGACGAAGTTCTCGATACATCGAAAGTAAATTTTAAGAGTACGTCCTTAGATAAGGAAAAGCAATGAAACGAGTACTTAAAACAGTTACAAAATAATTATAGTCATACCATAATCGTCAACATTGATGTAACGAGGTGTAGAATAAGTAACATCGTTTTGTGAATACAGTTCACATAGGTTTTTCTTTATAGTGACGCGGAAACTATGGATTTCCTGGGCGGGTAGCGCGTAATGAGTTCAGTAGATATGGCTCGATATGCGGTACCAAGATGCGTGCGCGCCGCCGTCGCGCCACCCGCGCCTCTTGCGTGTTCCATCTCTAATTACTAATGCTGATTATGTATTGTCATGTTTTTTACATATGGTCGCATTGAAATGGAAAACTTGAACGTCATAAGCTTAATGATGAAATAATTAATATTAAATCAAGTTGTCATGTCATAGTGTTCTCATGAGGGAAGCGTGATGTAATTTCAATGTTGTGTATTTACCAATATAGTATTTCCGTAATCAAATTAAAAAAAACTTTATATTACGTTCTCATTTTTAGGGTGTCTCCTTGTTGATCATGATGTCAAGAGTTTCTCATATTGTGTAATCCATAAGTCTGGGTTTGAATCCTTTAGCAGGATCATGCATATGTTTTGGGCATAGGTTTTAAAGATAATGGGTTGATTGATATCGTTGACAAGTTTAGTAATTCTATTTGAACGGCTTTTTATGTATTGATTTATGTTTTCATTTCGATCAATTGTTGATCGAAGACTTTTCACGAAAGAGGTCTCTTTCGGTTGGCGCTAGGTGGTTTTTTATCTATAGAATCTTTTTTCGAGCAGCACTTGAAACAAAATGATTTTTCCATACTTCCATGTTAATATTATAAATGCGAAAGTGATTTTTTCTGTTTTCTTTTCTGTCTGTAACCTCTTCACACTGAAATAGCACAACACACACAAGATTTAGATCAAATTTGGTTTATAGTTAGAGTCCGACGAAAGCACATAGGATGTTCTTCATCCTAGATTATATATATGATGAAAAGGCGGATGGAAGTTGAAGACGTTGTTTCGCTGAGCAATTTTCCGTACTCCAAGTACGAATTTTTACAGAGCCGCATTCATAATGCCAACGTCTAAGTTTCTATGCAAATTAAGCAGCGCGCCTACCGGACGTGAGAATAAACTAGCCTTATCTACACGTATATAGGAACTTTGACCGACGATACCAATACTTTTTCGCTAGTTGTTTGTGCTTGGGGTCCTGTTTTTTCCCCGCTATCAGTGTAAGGCTTCTTGACCGGCTCGGTTTCTGTGAGGCATCGTTATTTTTTGTTTGCTACGGTGGGTGCTTGTCATTTGTTATAGTGATGTCACGTCTCGCCCTGTCGGGTAGGGGCGATTCGATTGGTTCGGCAGCACTAAGTATAGAGAGGTGTGTATGCGCTCGGGAAAGAATTGAACCTCAAACTCAGAAAAGAAGATCTCATTTAATAACATTACACTCGATAAAGAATCTATACAGATTCGGTACGGAAACCAAAACGAAACTAGCATGCGCCGATCCTGTGAGAAAGGTAAAGGTTGGCATCTGATATATCCGTCCAAGCTGTGAAGTGTTACAAGCATAATATTTTTGGGGTTGTGGAGGAAAGTCATATCGTTTGGTCTTTTGTCTTTAACAAGCTTAATTACTTGTGATAACATAGTTTTTTTTATTAATTTAATACACACAATAGAAAAACAGAAACGAGTAATTTACTAAGCAAATAAAAAAAAACATTTAAGAGCCATCATACACCGGCAGCTTGAAGCAGTCGGGATTTAGGCTTTAAGCTGCGACTGCATTGTGAACTACAGTATTCTATGTAAGTTGGTATGAACTGATCGAGCAGTTATCAATGGCAGCTTCAAGCTGCTGACTCTGACTGCTACAGCAGTCAATGTAGGGCGGCTCTAAGCGGGCTCGACCTCGCGCATTTATTGAGCGTGTCGGGTTTTCTCTGGCACTTCCTTGGCTCCACTGGCTTAGAAATAGCGCTGCCTTGTAGCCCAGAATGAGTTGGAGGGGCCACGGCGCGTATATGGGGTTTCGATAGCATGGAGGTGCAGTAAGCATTGCAAATGCAGTAAGCATTTGCCCAGATAGAGAAGGGCGGCGTTTTTCCGCCCGCCCTATTGATTGACGAGTTAAATGTAAAATGTGGTATTACCGATAAATTAATTCAGATGTGTTTATGATAATTTTATTGTTACTCTTAGTATTGTTATGTTACTTATATATAAAAAAATATTTTGGAAAACACAAAATTGTGAGGTGGACACGTGTTGATTAAGTATTAAAATACGACTCAATATAGTATTGTTTTTATTTTACAAATAGGTATTATATTGTTTCCTAAAGTACTTATTTGTGAAGGATACCTAGGTAGTTAAAATATTGACTCAAATTATACTTATATTATAAAGGCGAAAGTTTTTGAGTGTGTGAATGTGTATGTTTGTTACTTCTTCACGTCTTAACGGCTGGAGCGACTTTAATAAAATTTGGTATGGAGTTAGCTGACACCATAGATTAACACAAAGGCTACGTTTTACTGCGGGAAAATATCTCTAATAAACTGCGGGTGGCACCGCGGGGCACAGCTAGTATATAAAAATATAAATATTTAATAATTAAATGTGTATAGCTAATCCTAGTTATTTCCGAAAATGGAAAAATCTGACAGTTCCATTAATTTAATAACACAAGTCTTTCTTCGTATAAGTAGGTACTTCTTAGTAGAAATTTCACGAAATATACCTACCTAACTACTTAATTTTTGATTTGTTTATACTTAAGTAGGTTGGGTGATTTAGTGTTTTGTCATTCTTAGGTAGGTACTACCACACACAGAGACTTTAATTTATTTTAATGTTAGTCAAAGCTATGTTTAATAGATAAAGCAAAGAAAGTACAGCATTAAATTTAAAAATACTTTAAAAAAATGGACATCTATACTGTGAGTATGGCCGTTAATGTATTTTTTATTTTGGAGGGCAAAGGAAAACTACAGTAACGACCGTTACGAAATTCTATATTAGATATATCTACATAAGTATTATACGTTTTACAATATTTCACTTGGGTATAATGCTTACAACGTTACAAAACTTTGCTAACATAATTCGATATGTTACTTTAAATAAAGCAACCTACATATATGTGGTACGAGATCCAAAGATAGGTCCGTCCTTCACGCATCTGCTTACCAGACGAAAAGTATGTTTTTTCCAGTATACTTTATAAAGAAACCGTAATTTCGTTGCCTATAAAAATTGTTCATGACTATTTTTGATAAATTAAAAAGTAAAATCATTTTTTTAAATCAGCTTTTATTAACTGTTTTATTAACGAAGGTCGACCTCTGTTGGATCTTAGACTTATAAAAAACTTGACATATGCAATGTTTTTTGTTTCTTAGGTTTTCACGCACATCACTCATTAAATAAAACTAGTTTTTACGGGTTAATGCACGAAAACTTTATTTATTTATTGACGTTTCGTAGTCTTTACAGTACACACAGTTTACTTTACAGTAGTCTTTACTTTATATATCATTCTGACGACGTAGCCTGTAAAGACTACGAAACGTCAATAAATAAATAAAGTTTTCGTGCATTAACCCGTAAAAACTAGTTTTATTTATATGCAATGTTTTTTATAAATTGGTTCTTACTTATATTAATTAACTTAATTTATTCTTAATTCGTTAAACTCAGTCACTTTAGTATTTCGATTCAATAAAAAATGATTTATATTTGAAGGAATACTTATAAGGTAAAAGCGATTTGACACACAAAAAGCTATTCTGCGGTACTCTTAATATATATTTCCTAATTAAAATTAAAGAAATATCTATTAAATATTATTAAAATACTAATAATTATCAAAATGTAATGTTTGACTTTGAATAAAATACTTAATTATCTTATGATAATTAAGCATTTTACTGGCACGGCTCAGCCGTGCCATTCTGTAGGAACAAACTCACTTTTCACCGCGAAATCCGCGTGTGATTTGAAATTACAAATCCCACCGCGGATTCCGCGGTGAAAAGTGAGTTTGTTCTTACTTAATGCACTGGCAGAAATTGTTATGCGTTGAATTATTTTAAAACAGTATTAATAGACTTAGAGTCAGCCACATTTAGAGCAAAGGTATCAGGGACAATTTTTAAGATCTTTTCAGTCTCAGTCGTACCCTGGACTTCAAAGATGGCGGCGACGCCGAATCTTGCTCGCACACTCGTCTAAAATATAAACATATGCAGTAACATTGAAATGAAATATAACAAATATTAATTTGATGACAATACAATACGAAAAAAGTACCTACTTAAAATATTTTACTAATTAAAAATTGCAAGACTTCTTGATACAGATTTTCGTCAGGCAGTAATCCTTCCTAAAGGCATTAAGTGAACTAAACGTAATCAACTTGTTATTGAAGAAAATAAAAAATGTCACTGTGAAGTTATTTTTTAGATTTTTTGAAGGTATTTGTATTAGAGAATTTCACTTAGAGTTTACTTATGCAGATTGAACATAATTTGTTGGATTTTAAGTATAATACCATAAACTTAAACAAGCCAGGATCAAGTTTATACCACATTATAATATATTAAGTAGGTATACGTATAAGAATACTTTTGAAGGGTACACTGATATTAAGAACCTATCTCCGCAAAATAGCACTAAAATAAACTATTGCAAATCCCATCATCATATCAACTACCAATATCAGCTTATTTATACGACGAACACTGATACTTATAAATATATCAGTTCTTCGTTTAAAATCTTTAATGAGGGCAAATAGGTAGGTTTACCAAGAAGAATACGTTCAGTTCTATAAGGGCCGCGAAGACTATGTAGCCGGCATACGCCACGATACAGATGACTCCGATTTTCCAGTCCAATTGGAATTTATTAAGTGCCAGTGCCCCATACAATGTGAACAGAGTGGACAACAGCGATATAGCACTGTAAGAGAGCCCGCTGGAGTTGATCGACACCTGAAAATAACGCAATACTGTTTTACAGACGGCATGTGTTATCATCTCATCATCATCTTAGCTTATAATTGTCCCCACTGCTGGTGTACATTTATTCTCTATGGATGAAATAGGGAGATTAGGCCACGACCCACCACTCGGGCCCAGTGCGTGTTAGTGGGTTTATAACGGCTGCAGATGCAACCGGGAGCAACGGCTTTACGTACCTACCGAAGCACGGAGGAGTTTGAGATAGTAAATTTTTGGTCCCCAATCCTACAACGATTGCAATGGAATGGCTAATTTTGTAAAAAAATATTTACACGACTGTCAAAAAAATTACATACCTATCGCAAACTTGCTACTTCCGTACAAAACATCTAAAGGTTGTTTGTTATTCATAAAATAAAAACAATAGTACGAAAAGAAATTGCACATTTTTTTGCTTATTTTTTATGATAAAGTAAGCATGCACATAATGCTATTTCACAAGGTTTTGCTTTGCTCCCAATCTGTGTTCATAAGATGAACACGATGATGACAAATAAAACCCTTTATATGACGACTATACATAAGGTAAGTAAGGCTATACTTACAAAATAGTTTTCTGGTACACTCGGGTAGAAGAGTGCCTTCACGAGCCACGGTAGGCCTAGGCAAAGCAAGATGTCAAACGTGTTCGATCCTATGGAGTTGCTGATGCCCATGTTACCATGACCTGTTAAGCATAAAATATGTGCTTTGCAGTTAAAGCTTAAATGGATAAAATACTAGAAAATTTTAATTTGTTCCAGATAAGGTAAGTAATATTTCTAGCCTGATGACGGCATGGGCCGAGTTGAATTTTCTTATAATATTGTCTTTACTTATATATGGTTGATTGGGTTTAATTTGAAAAGTTCAATTTAAAAAAAGGATGATAGATCTTGTTCCTATTCTAAGGCTTTTTTCTTATACAAAGCGCAGCAGATCACCCCTTTACTTAATACGACAATACGTGTCAGTGGCGACTAGAGTTACTGGAGAGTTACGTAACGTTCCTGATGACGGTAATATACATATAATCGAGCGCATCAGACATTAAGACGGGATGTTACGTGAACCCTCCAGTAGATACTATGCAAAAGACTGATAAGACTCTAAAAGACTCCAGTCAAAATAGACATTTGACTTAGGAATAATTGATGCACATGAACATGACTGCACAATGCATTTCCAAATACGCCTTAAATTATTTTCCCTGACATTTGTTTCAATTTCAATTTAATTTATTTGTTTGATATTATTCTCGGCACCATGTAAGCCTCCAATTACAAGTATGAAGTACTTGAATGATGTAGTGCCCGGGTTGCGGCGTCCGCCATCTCGTTACCAGGCATAGCATTGCAGCTGCATGGACACACACTTCATAAAGTTATCATGTGACAAATTCTTGAAAACCCTTTTATATGGATATTCAGTGTTTGTTTTTCTTTTTTTTTGTCTTTTTGTTATGTTTTGTCCAATCTTAATTTTTATTTTATTATTTATGTTAGTGAATTAAATTAAATTAAATTAAATGTAATAATTACGGACATATAATAACGCCGTTTGTATCCAGTATCTATTATGTACATAATGAGTTTCTGTAATTGGCCTTAAGATTGTATCTATATTTTATTGTATTAAATTTGACAAAAAAGCGCTGTAGAAACTTTGTTAAAGATAAATAAATAAATAAAAAAATTAATAAATTGGCATAGAGCTAAAAATAAACAGCCTATCTTTGTCCACTGCTGAACATAGGCCTCTCCAAATGCACGCCACTCAGATCGATCTTGGGCTACTCGCATCCAGCTCCTGCCAGCCACCTTGCGCAAATCGTCACTCCATCGCGCCTGAGGATGTCGTCTTACACTACGTTTGCCTAGACGGGGTCTGCACTCCAGAACTCGTTTACCCCAACGGTTATCGGTTCTTCGACAAATATGGCCAGCCCACTGCCACTTCAATGTCGATAACTCCGGTTCTCTGTCGGATTACCTCCAATAATAATAAATACATCATTATAAATAAAATGTCAAAAATCTCCTTCGATCCAACTTCTGTAAAAAAAATGTAGGTCAAACGTACAAAATAAGGCTTTTCCATTTTTCTCGAAAACGGTAAGTTTTATCGTGAATATAGGTCAGATAAAAGTTGTAGATCATACAATTCTCTGCAAAAATGGTCCAGTCACTTTTTCTCTCACGACTCACCATTCGTGAGATATCGCTGTTTTTATAAATTAGAAAATTCATATTTTACATAATATGCACACATTTCTGCACCACTAATGAGAGGAATTTTTCACATTTTATTTATAGTGATGTATTTTACGTCTCTTCCAATTTTCAGCTCTATGCGAATTATTCCTAATTTATGGCTTATTTTTGTCTATTTTAACTGAACTATGACGGTTTGAAAGCGATCAAATGTCATTATCAATCAATAGTCAGTCAGGCCGATTGCTGAATTTTTTGTTGCTGCCTTAGACGTTCGATCCTATATAAAAAGCTCAGGTAAGATGGGAGTACCTGCTTTAAGGTGCAAGTTTCCCCTCCTTATGTTATTCTGCCGCGCTCGAGTAAATCCCAAAATCCCCGTTTGAGCTCCTCTTCTATTAGTCCTTAATCATTCCCTAACAGAAACAGCACACGAACAAAAGCTATGTAGCATTATCTCTATGGTCTTGCGATAGAAGTTACTTCCTTGGACGTGCGCCTTATAGTAGTTTACTTAAATGATACTTGGTGCCTTATAGTAGTTTACTTAAATGATACTTGGCAATTGATAAAAAGTGTTTGATCACGTAGCTGTTTAAGTGTTTGTATAATGACATAATCACCTATGATAAAATGAAGTTATTTATTTAATTAAGGTACCTGAATAAAGGGCACTAAAGTAAGTAAGTGTTATAATTTTTCGTAGGCATATTTGTAAATGGAAGGAGATCATTTAGTCAGACATACGACCTTGAGACGTACTTAGATATAAAATAACATTAAGCAAGTTCGTCCCTGTGTATTTTATGAGGTCACATTAGCAGCTATGTTTAGTTCTATTTGATACAAGATGGAACTGGCTTAGTAGACAAAGGTTAACCTTTTCCCAGATACAATATACCTAGGTATAAGAAAATAAAAAATATTTTATACAGGGCGTCCCACGGGTTCTTCACATGGAGGGAAAGTATGTTAAATATTGAAAATAAGATATTTTCCCGAATGAAGACATCATTTTATTTTTAATAATAACTATTAATCATAAGGATTATTTTTACCTAAATAACATAGCATTTTAATTGAAAGGAAGATCATGAAATTACCAATTTGTTCAGGAAAATTTCCACTTACTTTTCCGTGTTTCCAACGGCTAATGTTGTCTTTTCAAAGTATTTACTAACTAGTACCTGCTCACTTAATAATACAAGATTTCCTTACTATAAGTACGTGAAAAAATAAATCAAGCGGTACTTATACAAAGCTAGCACAGTTGCTTTTCATGTCAATTGAAGTTTGTTTTCAATTTATAAAAAAAAAGTCGTGCATTAACCCGTAAAATACTAGTTTTATTTAATGAGTGATGTGCGTGAAAACCTAAGAAACAAATATAAAAAAAAGTCTTTAGTGACTTTATTTTCATTTCAAATGCTATGTTTTTTAGTAATAAGTAATCCTCATGATTTACCCTTTCGACGGTTATTAGAAAATTCATGTGTTTTTTTGTTTCACATTTAACGACTTTGATTCCCGGTTTTGGTAGGCGAGTTTTTAAAAATAGTGAATGCAGTTCTACTAATTATTCAAAATAAAATGATTTCTTCTTTCAGTAAAATATTCAATATTTAATATACTTTCCCTCCGTGTGAAAAACCCCTGGGACGCCCTGTATATCTATGTACTTAATAGTCATTTGTAGATAGAGGTGAAAAAAGATTTTTTAGTGTTAAAAGCCTGGCAAACAAGCATTTGGCCCGCCTGATGGTAAGCGGCCACCACATTCTATAGACGCTTGCCATACAAAAAATATTACTCAAGCCGAGTACCTTAGTGGAAGCTTAATTTCTTACCATTTTTAGTCACCAAAACACTTGAAACAGCTTCAGGTAAGCTGGTGCCGGCAGCCAGGATTGTCAGCCCTGTGATGCTATCAGGGACGTCTAATGTATCGCCTAAGATGAAATAAAATATATAAGCTAACTAGGCATGATTTTTCTGTGAACAACATACTTAGGTTAGGTTTGGTTTGGTTAGGTTACACGCCTGTTGTCATCCCCATTCACACTCACTTACATTACTACCAGTAATTATCATTATCATCATAGCCGTATTTTTTTTTGGATAACAATCGCTAAAGAAACAAAACCTGACTTATATACCTACTACGGACACGGATTACACTGAATTATAAGGAAGAAAATCAAGTAAGTAATTTCGAATCGTAACTGAGATATGTTTAAGCAAATCAAAGTATATTTTATTAATCTGTGGGTAAAGTTAATTGAACCCAATTTGCGAATGATTAGATAAGATTTTGTCGATCAATCTGTACTTGGTACTTATAATAAATATTTTATCAAATGTACACTCAGATGTTATTAAAAATAATAAAATTGAGATAAGTCGGTAATCTTTCTAAAGTTCCTTCGTTGTAGAGGACTAGAATATGGATGATAAAATAGAATAGGTTCCTTGTAACGCACATAATTTTTTATATAATGTTTGCGTGGTAGATACGTTAAAACGTTTAAAATATTAACTTATTACACTGCTGTAACACCTACTTTTTTGACTCGTTAAAGATTACATGATATTCCAAATAACACAACACTACAGAATATTGTTTTGCTAAGGTTTCTCTCTTTCTTTTCTTTGACATTTATAACTAGGGTGTCTTACCGACAGTGAATTCAGATATTAACTGTCAGTTCGTGCTCCTTAGTCTCCATTCTCATTTTCTACCAGGTATCCTTATAATTCTTATAATCAGCGGCAATCAGGGAAGCAGAGACAGGGGTGTTCAGTAAGATTGAACGAAAAATTTTATATGCCATACCTGTCTTTCTAGTTTACAGAGGTATTTTTATTAGTCGTTAAAAATATGAAACCAAATCAACGTACCGACAATGGTAATGATCCAAGCTACAAGGTATGATACTCCTCCGATCCATGAGACACACATCACGAAGGTGAGCGGGTAGAGGCGCGGGTAGCGGCGGCAGTCCGGCACCGTGGCCCAGAGCAGCAGGCCGATGGGCCAAGTCACCACCCACAGAAGTTTCTTCAACGTTGAAGCTTTCTCGTCAGGCCACGACCACAATGAGCTTATGCTGCTGACGTCTGCATGAAAGCGATGTACAATAATGACTCCTCTCTATGGCGCGATAGTTTACCGGTTTTCAATTTTGTTATGTAAAAATATTATAGTCGGCCGGTTAGCGGCCACCATAAGTTCCATAAAAGCTTTCGATACCAGACACTATAACCAGAGGGATAGCTTGTATGTAACGAAATAAACACCTACTGAATAAAACATGTTTCTTTCTATTAGAGCGCAAAAACTCTATGCTCTAATTTTACTCTTAGGCACATTGGCGGAGTTGAAGCGTCGCGTCGCTTTATGTTTTCGCCTTGGGTATACCTTAACAATGGGCAAATAGACATGAATTTGCTACAGACCAAAACATGAAACTTGGTATTCAGAAATCGCTTCTTATGAGGGAATACCTTAATAGTTGGAAAATAGAGATGTGTACGTCAGTGTGAGTTGTGCCTTAAAACGTAAGTAAATGTCTTTTTCTTACTGGATACATTCAAATTTTTTTACCTGATGTCTCCGAATCGTGTCTCCTCGCCATCTCCACTCCTCGTTCCAAGTCGTTGGTTGACATGTTCATGCGGCATGTAGGATCCAAAGAATGTTGCTTGTCTGTCAATTTTAGACATTTATAATAATTTTTGTTCTCGCTATTATGTTACGCTCAAATATTTTTAGTTAATATAGTTTTGATCGTTGAAATTACAAAGTGTAAGGGATTGGTAAATAAAACCTTCATGCATAGCCAAAAGAGTTATAATTGAGGTTTTGGAACCAGCGAATTTTTTTTTAAACTTGTTAATGTATTACTTTGTTAATTGTTATATTAGTTCTTATAAACTTTAATTTAAATAAACTCGGCAATATTTTTATTGACATTATTAATTTGCCCTTGAGTATTATAAATGTAATAGTTTCTGTGTTTCTTTGATTTTTCCTCCTTTTTGAGCAACCCAAGTAAACCACGTAAAGAAAACGACTCATATTGCGCGAAATGTGTGCATGTTTCTAATGTCAGATTGTTTGAAAGCAATCAATGTGTGCGCGTGTAGCGTCGAGCTTATATACCATATGTAGTAGAAATTTTTTTTTCCACTTCCATGTAGTTAATGCGGTAGCTAGGCGTGAATAAGTACCTATGTCATTGTTACTGAACGACGCATAGATGACTGAATATCAAGTCCCAAACTCCAAGAGCTGTGAGTTAAAGCTCAAACTATATTAAAAAGCTCGGAAATTAGGATGTTCTACAAAGGAAGAGCTGTATAAACAAGAATTGCGGGCAGAAGCTAGTTCGACTATATTTCTGTTTATTGGCTTCCTAAATAAGTAAAAACGGTAATCAATAGTTAGAAATGGATAAGTTCAACTTATTATATTAAATGCTTCCTTGGTTTTAGTTACGCTGATGAAGGAAATGCGTTACTTATTGTATGTATTTAGCTAATAATGAAATTACATATGGTAGTTAACTTAACCGACGATCAAGGTTGATGGAAATAAAATACTTATAATTTTTGTTATTTTGTATAACGTACTATTAGGAGCTGGGATGGGAGTGATTAACACGATGGAGCTGCATTTGTAAAGTTTAAAAACTTTCGTACTCTAAAGAAAATCTTACAATTAAATAATCCACTCGGTCAAGGTTTCAGATGGGATTCGAACAGTATGTTCAGCTATCACTGCGTCCGCCCGGATAGTAAATTTTTTCCTATACATTTAAATATCTAATAATTAGATGCTTGGCAAAAATATGATAAACTTTCGTAATGTCTGTTATATTTTGGGTAACAATAATATTTCTATTTTGAGGCAAATTGACCCTCTGGCCTCAGCTGTATCTGCAGTCGTTAGCACGTTTATCCACGACCCACCACTCTTCCTCTAAGACCTAAACTGAATGACAAAGACTCGGACAGTACATGAGCCCACCTTTTCCAAATATTATTGTGGCGCAGGGTAACGATATGTGTATCCTCATGCTCCTTTGTCGGGAGATTTTGTTAGTCGGGACTCTGGACTTCGCATGAAACGTCGGGAGAAACCCCGCAGGATCGTCTAGATCCGAGTGAACCCTCCCGGTTGCCAGATGGTTACGACCATCTTCACTGCGTCACGAACTCCTCGAGAATGCTAATATAGCTAAAGATAAATCCAGTTAAATCCTACTAATATTATAAACGTGAAAGTTTGTAATTTTGTGTTATGTTTGTTACTCATTCACGCAAAAACTGAACGAATTTGAACTATGACCTGGATTGAGACATAGGATACTTTTTACCCCAGAAAAATGTTAGGTTCCTGTGGCATTCTCAAAATACTAAGTTAGGGCGGACGAAGTCGCGGGTGGCCGCTATTATAATATAATTATAAATGTTAATACCTTTTATAAGTAGTGGTGTGATTTCCGTGTACACTTTTGGCTTGTTAGGCACACAGCAACCGCTCCTTACGAACTTGCCAAGTCGTTTGTTGAACACCATTGCTGTAACAAATACTTAAATATTTTAAACATAGCGTATGAGTTTTAAATATTATACTTAATCAGAATATATATAGAAACGATTTATATATATCTTTTAACACCAGTTCAAACCAATGAACGGCAATCTGTTCAGTGTGCTGATAGTTTTATGACGTGGGACTTACAAGGGATTTTCTTAAATTCACACTTAAGGGGTAACAAAAGAGCTACGGCGCCGCCTGCGTGCTCGCAGGCGCGACGCCGTGGGACCTCGATGCGCTGGTTCTGGCAGAAATGCATCGAGGTCGGGTCGAGGCTACGGAGCGGGGTGAAAGACTTGCCCCAGCAGAGCTGAGGCAGGTTCGTTCCATCGCCCAGAGCGAAGCTCTGCGGCGATGGGATGAGGCACTCGCCCATGTTAGCGCCGGCCACCGGACGATTGAAGCCGTTCGTCCGGTGTTGGAGGAATGGTTGGATCGCCGGCGCGGCGGTCTCACATTCCGTATGGTGCAGATCTTGACCGGGCATGGATGCTTCGGTCACTATCTGCACCGTGTCGCACGTCAGGAGGAGACGCTGCAATGTCATCATTGCGGCGCCCCGGACGACACGGCCGAGCACACCTTATTGGAGTGCCCGGCCTGGCGACACCAGCGCCGTGAGACAGCGACAGGGCAGAAGGAGGCGGCCGAGAGGGAGCGGGAGGATGATTCTCTGGCCGCTCCCTCCCGCCAAAGGAGGACGGGTAGGAGAGGACGGCGGCGCGCCCTGGCTGCGCCCGTCCCATGACCCTACTCGCGGGGTCCCTCGCTGACCGGCATGGCGTTGGTCGTGCCGGCCACCGACAGACCTCGTGACGGCAGCCCCCCCTTGTAGTTCTGTCCTGCAAAGAGGGGGGCGGCGGAGGGTGCTACACGGGCACGCCCAAGTAGCCCTCCGCAGCAGACGGGGGGCGGTACGGTGGGCATTAGGCCGCGTACTCAGCCGCCACGCGCGGGCCTACCAGCGCACGTCTGTGGGGTCCCCGTGATACCCCGGGAGACCCCTGCCGTGGAGCCCCGGCTAGGCTCCCGGCCTAGGGGCTGCTAGGTGCGGAGACGCGGAAGAATCCCTAAACGGGGATCCCACGGCTTCGCGCTAAGCAGCTTAGAGGGTATTCGCAGGACTTTTTTAGCGGATATTATGCCGTAAACCGCCCGTAAGAGTTGAGGGGTCGTCGTTGGACAGCCACTGGGGGGTCCGTAAGACTTGCGGGAGCCAGGTGTGAGGTCCGTTCGGCGGTGTGCCTCTTAAAGGCGTCGTCCGTCGTCTGTAAATAGCATTTTTTACCTGCGTTATAAAAAAGGGGTTACAAAAGAGCATGAAAATGAGCTTTTGGTTGACAGTAAAAGATTATTGTTTCTTTTCTTTTTTGGGAATTCATCCCTTCATTCAGAAAATTTATAACATGAAATTTTATTGGTTCTGAAGATATGAATCAAAAAACTGTTAAATTAGCCATTGGTAAATAACAAAAGTTTATTAACATATTTTTTATTTCTGTATGAAACCTCGACAATTTGAACAAACAAATCTAGAAATATTAGTAAATGTGCTTGATCGTTGATAATAAAGGTTTTTCTGTTACGAGTATTTTAAGTTAATTTATCCCCTAAAGGCTTGCAGAAGGATTCTTTTAAACATCAGCTCCTGAGAGGTTAAAACGCGGTCATAGAGCAACACAGCCGACGCAGCCAGCCGCGAAAGCGGTTATTTAATATATGTATGTGTTTGTATCTCACCCAAGATATAGAAGGTATACATCAGCACCAGCAGCAGTGCCTCATGCCAATAGATCTTGTCGTCGAGCAGGGTCAGGATCAGAGCAACCACCGTGACCGCATACATCAGACAATCCCGGGAAACCGACCACCAATCCAACTCGATGACCTGTGTTCGACACATATGATATCGATTCACTATCAATAGCTCAATATAATCTTCTCTTATATGTGTATTATGAAACCTTATTTCCCTTGGTCATACCATAACTTAATAACGACTCTACCGATTTCAGCTCAATTTTTTTTGAGTCTTCTACAGTATTTAATGCTAATAGCTTAATAAAAAATACGACAAAGGAGTGTGTGTATACATATGCATTTGGAAGACAGTACATTTAATAAATAAGAAGTCATGTGGCCTTACTAATATTATAAGTGTGTAGGTTTGTATGTTTGTTACTCAATCTAGCAAAAAATGCTGAACGAGATTCATTGAAAATTGGTACGCATATGGTTTGTGACCTGGATTGATACATTAGGATGCTTGTTATCCCGAAGAAATTTTAGGTCCCAGTAGGATACTCAAAAAACTAAACTAATATAATCCATTAAGAACATGTTCTTGTTATGATGTAATCTGTTTTATGCAGTGTTAAGAAAAACACTTTCAATAAGTAACGCTTTTCGGAAAATTGGTCGCAATGAAAATTAATGCTCAGGATAACTTTTGTTCATCATAAAACTTCTGGACCTCGTATTACGTAAGAAAGAGATTATTGTATACATGCGTTACAATAAAAAATGTTCTTTTTACAGAGTTTTATAAAGGAAGAAGTGAATGTCTACACATTCAAATATCTAATACTTGGTTTTTACGGAAAACAAAATTAAGAAAGTTCCTGAGACCTTAAGTTAATGCAGATAAAGACGCGGGCGGGAGCTAGTTACAGTTATAAGAACAATGAAACAATGAGAAATATTTCGTGTAATCGCGCGTCATTAAGCCAAAATAAAGAACTGAAAAAACTGCTAAATTCAACAACTGAAGACTTATAAAAAAAACTTAAAGTTAAAGATGACAGAATTAAAACACTAGCAAGAAATAAATCATAAATTATTGTGTAATAGGTAAATTCAACAGTGAATCGATTAAAATTTTAAACGGCTGCATTACATTAATGAGCGGAACATGAAATTACTAACTGAAGCACAAAATAAACTTGAAGAATCTCAAAGTAGGTAATGAGTAAGTATTCATTGCCTATTGCCTACACATTCGCTTCTTCCTTTATAAAACTCTGTAAAAAGATATTTTTTTTATTGTAACCCATGTATATAATAATCTATTTCTCCCGTAATACGAGGACCAGAAGTTTTATGATGAACATAAGTTATCCAGTATCCTTATTACGAGTTTGAGCTCACGAAAACTATCATAGTTTTCGTAATTGTAAATTATGTTTTATATTATGGTGATAAGGAGCCAAATATACTTAAAATTTAAGAAGACGCAAATGATTTGTATTGAAACGGAAACAATAAAATCAGTACCCTTAGTAAAACGAGCGCGAGCTCACGAAAACTATCATAGTTTTCGTAATTGTAAAACTAGGGTACAGAGCATTAATTTACGACCAATTTGTCGAAAAGCGTTACTTATTCAAAGTATTTTTCTAAAGATATAATTCGTTATAAATGTTACTTAAATATATACAGGAACAATGAACCTTAAACTAAAAACCTTAAAAAATATAATTTAATAACTAAAATATATTACTAAAAAAGTAAATATTAATATATTTTTTAAAGTAAATGCCAAACATTGACAACATAAATTTGTTGATATTAATTGATAGTATGTCACTGATTACTTTAAATTGTAGTCTAGTTGCAATTAAACTGGTTATTAAGGAAATGACATGAAGGAAAAAGTCATAAAGTGGTCATCGTTTTAATATAACGTGAAACCACTTTGCGTTCTAAGTATGCTCATCAGCTAATTGACAGGTAGTTGAATGTTTTTGATTAGGAAGTGAAGTTTGTGATACGATTTACTTAAAAAGGATTACTCAGTACTGAAAGTCGTTGATTCCTTATAATTAAAGAAAAATCAAGGTTCGCGTTAGCAAGAAAAAAATAACTTTTTTGCAATTAAAAACTGTATCAGAATGTGCGAGTTTTTATGTTACCCTTTATGTTTGCGAATAACTATATACGTGAGCTTGTACGACATTTTATTAAAGAAGACCCTAATAATAAAATTATGGAATTTAAAAATTCGGACGTGGCACTCTGTTTAAGTTTTAAATACATCGGTTCATATACGCGTTTGCGCTGATCCATAATACCGGAAGGAAAAAAATACTACAAATAACTTAGTTATATTAAAGTAATATAGCTTTAATAAAATTTTACTGTGAATATGGTAATACCTATCACCTTTTTGCTTTACAATAGATAATGGCTACACGTGACTTAAAAGAAACTAAAATTTGACGTTTCTTAAAATGGTCGTATGTACTTACCTACCTCTTATAACGATATAGTCCAGGCAACGAAAAGGTATAGAGGGAAATGCTTAGAACACAATTTTTGACTTCGTGACTTTGTTAGGACTAGTTAGGAGGTAAACATATCAAAAGTCCCCGCCCGTAGCCCTTAAGCCGGGGGGAGGGGGGGGGGGGGGCTTGAAGGTCCCATTTTTAGGTTTTTCGCATATATCTCGAAAACTATGCATCCTAGCGACATGAGACTTTCACAAAAGTGAAAGCTGATTAAATTTGCTACAAGTCTTATTCAGTCAAATTTTTTGATATCTTGTATAGTTTTCGAGATATCCGCTCTTGAAAGTCTGTAATTATGGAAAAAAAATTTGTTCCCATTTTTGCTCTATTTGACCGGATAACTCTTCAACAATGCACCCAAAAAATAAATGCCGGCCGTAGGGTTGTAGAGCATTAAATTATCTTCAATAATAGAAACAATAGCCTTTTTTTTTTTTTTTTTTTTTTTATTTAAGGACAAAATTGTGAGGGTAGTAGACGTATCACTCCGTGATAAAGTCGATGGCGCTGTACGGGGCCCCGGTCTGGGCGGAGTGCCTCTCGTCCCGCACGAGGGCCCTCCTGCGAAGACCGCAGAGGGTCATCGCGACCCGGGCCGTGCGGGCTTACCGCACGGTCAGCCACGGGGCTGCCTGCGTCCTAGCAGGCACGCTCCCGTGGGAGATTGATGCCCTGGTACTGTCCCAGGTGCATCAACACCGGGTCGCAGCGAGAGAGCGGGGCGAGCGACCCGTTCTAGAGGAGATATAACGGGTCCGCACCGAGGCGCAGAGGGAGGCTCTGCGCCGATGGGTGGAGGCACTCGCCAACCCAGCCGCTGGCCACCGGACGATCGAGGCGATTCGTCCGGTGTTGGAGGAGTGGGTAGGGCGCCAGCGGGGCACCGTCACCTACCGCCTGGTGCAGGTACTGACCGGACATGGGTGCTTCGGTCGCAGTCCCCCTGAGGCGCGTCGCCCGGTCCACTCGTTGGACCGGGCCTGCCCGGGGGCGTGCTCGGAGATGTGGCGCACGCAGGTGCGTCGGCCCCGAGACGCCCCCATATGGGCGTAGGAGGGTACCGGGGGGTTTTAGTGGAGTAGGATCAGTGTGGCCTTCCGCACTGGTCCTGCTTGAGTAGGGTCGGCACTGTTTCCCGTGCCGGCGAGTCCCACACACGCCGTGCGCTTAGTCAGCGTCACGGTATGGTGCGTAACTGCATTTCCCCTCGTCACAAAAAAAAAAAAAAAAGGGTAGTAGACGTATGGGGGCGGTACGGTGGGCACTAGGCCGCGTACTCAGCCCCCACGCGCGGTCCGTCCTGCGCACGTCTGTGGGGTCCTCGCGATACCCCGGGAGACCCCTGCCGCGGAACCTCGGCAAGGCCGGGAGGCTGCTAGGTGCGGAGACGCGGAAGAATCCCTAAACGGGGATTTCGCGGCTTCGCACTAAGCAGCTTAGAGGGTGTTCGCAGGGTTTTTTAGCGGATATTATGCCGTAAAGCGCCCGTAAGGGTTACGGGGTCCTCAGTGGGCAGCCACTGCTGGGGCTCGTAAGGCTTGCGGGAGCCAGGTGTGAGGTCCATAAGTAAAAAAGAAAGTAAATTAGTGTCATTGAGAAACTGTAATTATCTAATAATAATATCTGTAATAATGATATCCGCTCTTGAAAATCTGTAATTATAGAAAAAAAAAAACGCTTTACATTTATGCTCTATTTGACCGGTTAACTCTCGGATAACTTTTCAACGATGCATCGATGTCTAAATAGCACACATGCTCATTTTAGAATATGTACTTGTTGGCCCACTGACCAGGTTCTTCACACTTAATCCAGAAAATAAGTTAAAAAAAACTGTAAGAGTTAACTACTTTATGCAAAAAAGGTTATTATAAATTAGATGATTATTTAAATGATAAGATTGTCTGGTGTTGTATTGGTCCAGCTCAACACAAAAAGTAGTATTAAGAATAATTAAAATTATAAAACAGGACATTAAAAAAAATTGAGACGCCCTGTTGAGGGCCCTGTGCCTCTGGTTTTTTTTCGGTTCTCATTGGCTATACAGGTACGAATACGGCAGCAGTTTTAGATACAATTCACTATGACGTGCAAAAAGAGATTTGTAAAAAAATCCAATATAGTCAATTGCTTGCTCTTTTGGGGTGGGAAGAACCTTGATCCTCGTCTTCGTTTACATTTTCATTTTCTGTGTCATCTTCTCCATCGGAACCCTGTAGGGAAACGGTCAGAGGATCCTCCTGTTCTTCTTCACCTTCGGAGTCAACTTGAGGGACCCCATTCAAGCAGTTCCCCTGGCAATTTTGGTACGCTGGGGAACATTTGAGGCTTGCTTTTTTGCAGCCTCACTTTGCGCTTGCACAGTCTTTCGTGCATCGACAGAAAATCGAAAAATCATATAATAGGTATTGTTGGTCGTGAACATGGCCCCCGGCGGTGTAGACACCTACTTATTTAGGTAACGGCCAACACTGCCAGTTTTCTTACCGGGCGACGCAGGCACCCCCTTTAGTCAATACGTCTACTACCCCCTTTTTTTTATACGCAGGCAAAAAATACTATTTACAGACGACGGCGCCTTTAAGAGGCACACCGCCGAACGGACCTCACACCTGGCTCCCGCAAGCCTTACGTGCCCCAGCAGTGGCTGCCCACTGAGGACCCCGTAACCCTTACGGGCGCTTTACGGCATAATATCCGCTAAAAAACCCTGCGAACACCCTCTAAGCTGCTTAGTGCGAAGCCGCGAAATCCCCGTTTAGGGATTCTTCCGCGTCTCCGCACCTAGCAGCCTCCCGGCCTTGCCGAGGTTCCGCGGCAGGGGTCTCCCGGGGTATCGCGAGGACCCCACAGACGTGCGCAGGACGGCCCGCGCGTGGGGGCTGAGTACGCGGCCTAGTGCCCACCGTACCGCCCCCATACGTCTACCACCCTAACAATTTTGTCCTTAAATAAAAAAAAAGGCTTTTGTTTCTATTATTGAAGATAATTTAATGCTCTACAACCCTACGGCCGGCATTTATTTTTTGGGTGCATTGTTGAAGAGTTATCCGGTCAAATAGAGCAAAAATGGGAACAAATTTTTTTTCCATAATTACAGACTTTCAAGAGCGGATATCTCGAAAACTATACAAGATATCAAAAAATTTGACTGAATAAGACTTGTAGCAAATTTAATCAGCTTTCACTTTTGTGAAAGTCTCATGTCGCTAGGGTGCATAGTTTTCGAGATATATGCGAAAAACCTAAAAATGGGACCTTCAAGCCCCCCCCCCCCCTCCCCCCGGCTTAAGGGCTACGGGCGGGGACTTTTGATATGTTTACCTCCTAACTAGTCCTAACAAAGTCACGAAGTCAAAAATTGTGTTCCGAGCATTTCCCTCTATACCTGTTTTTGAGCATTCGTTGCCTGGACTAATATTAAAATATCGTTGATCTGTAAGAAACCCTACCACCTACTGTCAATATAACTAATATTATATAACGCACGCTGGAGCTCGATGACGTAAAGTGATTAGCGCATTCGGCCTGCGTTCGTGAAAGTTAAGCAACTTTTGCAATGATCAGTCATTGGATGGGTGACTAAAAATTTATTATCTCGAGCTTCTTCGTGCTTCGGAAGGCACGTTAAGTCGCTGATCCCGGCTGCATCTGCAGTCGTTAGCACCCACCAATCCGCACTGGGCCCGCGTGTTGCGTAACGGTCCAATCTCCCTTTACCATCCATAGGGTAGGCCTGTGCCCCAGCAGTAGGGATGTTTATAGGCTGGTGATGAAGCAACATTTTGTCAGTTTTTCATTTTTTATTGGTATAACGCACTTGGCTGGTGAAGAGAGCGCAGCACGCAGGCACCGCTAGCACGTTGAACACGGCCGAGCCGACTATGGCGCCCACTCCCAGATCTCCCTCTGTCACGAACGTGCCCACGCAGTTGATGAACAGCTCCGGGCTGGAGCTGGCAGCTGCCATAAACGTGGCACCGGCCACGTCCGATGACATGTCGAAACCTAGCAATTATAGGAGAATACTCTCAACCCAGAAAGTTACGGTTAGAAAATTTGGTACTAGGTACTCTTAAAACAGAGGAACACAAAATTTATCTAAGCGCGCGCTATTTGATTTGATTTTAGAACATAATGTTCCAATGGCTTATTTCTTTTGTAGTAGGTTTTATTTCTTTTTTTACTAATTATATGGTGAGATTTCAAATGTTACACATCTTACGCAACTACTGTAAGGCTCTTTTGTTTTTTTATTCTATTATCGCTGTCAAACTATGTATTTGTTTCAATGTTTTAATAAATTTGTGGTGTTTCCAAAATCAACTCAAATATTTCGAGTACTCGAGTACGTGAGTACCTGCTAGGTATTCGAGTCAGCTTGACTCGGCACATCTCTACATCAGAGGTTGTCGGAAACGCTACACTTCCAAAAGAACTCTTTTAATAGATCAGCCCATAACAATGAGACATGACCATGACAGCCGTAACTACCGAATAGTACAAAAGGCAGTAGATATAATAATTACTAAGGCCGGGCAAATGACCCAACCCTTTATGACGATGTGATAGACAGTTTTGATGCGATGTTATTTAAGAACTCTTACTACAGCATAGCTATTAAATCTTATAAACTTAAGAACCAAGAATTGTCTTGGTTTCTGAATTAAGACAACAATATCATGGTTACAAAACATTTGTATTTTACTAGAATAACATTGCTTAGTCAAAATAATTTATGATCTAATTTCTACGAATGTAAAAATTTAAATATACTCTGTATATGTATTTCCTTGAAGTTGTGGCGAATATACAAACTGATGCTACACAAATTGCATAAAACTGCTTAGCTGAATGGCATAATTTTCACGTATTAACCAACTTAGGTACATCCTTATTAAATGATACATTGCTTAAGTTCTTTCATCCGAGTTTAAAAGTATAGTATATCTATACTAATATTATAAAGAGGAAAGTTTTTTTTTATAAAGAGGATTGTTGCTCCGAAAATACTGGACGGATTATAACTTTATTTATTACTCAAAAAAGTGCATTTACGGAGGTTGCACACATTGTTCGAAAGTTCAAAATTATGCGCCATACAACGGAACGTGCGGTAAAACGTTTGTCCGCACGCTCCCATACAAGGCGCCCCGTGGGTATTCTTTACGGTTTAATTGTAATTTCGGTCGAACCTCCTTGGAAGCGCTTTTAATCTATTCCTTTGTCTCCCTTTCATACCAAAAAAAGAGACAAAAGATGTAGATCTAATTTTCACCAGTCGCACGTGGCGCCATTTAGATATGCACGCCATTTGCTTATTAAAAAGTTTGCTTCATTACTTAAAAATTATACCGTTTTCTTGCAAATATGTTGAAAAACGTTGTATGACAGTCGTGCGGAATTGGAATTTACAAACTCGTGAACACATTCGTCTACTCGAATGTTATAACCAACTTACCGCACTAATATTATAAATAACTATTAACCTTTAGAATCCTACATTATCCCCGGCGAACATAGGCTATAGAATATTTACAAAAAGTTAGGGTTCCCCTAACTTTTTGTAAATATTCTATATTATAAGATAAGTCATAGGAAATCCTATAAATCACTAATACTTTCTTAGTGAAAATAAACTTTAGGACCATGGGTAAACAGCGGGGATATTTTGTAAATTTTTCAAGCCCGGATCCGATGCGGATCCGCGCCTCGAAGCATAGCCTCGCAGAGCATTTGTCTGAAAAACCTTTAACTTGAGCTAATAACAAAGAGAAGGCCATCTCTTATCTCATTGATACTTATCTTAATTTCTAAAATATTGTTTATTATTAATATAGGACTTTACGTATACCTGTTTTCATTTACCTTATCAGTGAGGCAATGGGCAGATTTTTCCATTAAATTATAGTAATAATAAGATAAAATCCTACATAAATAAAGATTAATAAGGTGTAAACATATGTGTTTTTTAGATTTTAATGGAGCTGTATATACTAAGAGATATCGATGTGGGAAAAGTTTACAAGCTTTCGAGATAAGAAAATGACTTATGCGTTAATCAATTAGATAGGGTGTTTGTACAAATGCGCCATCGCTGAAGGTACTCAAGATAGTAAAATACTCAGGCACTTGCATGTAGTTACGTTTGTATGCATGTCTTTTAGCAGCGCAGATACATGAGCTTTAATTCGCATGAGCAAGCATTACATGTCGCTTATTGCTAATACAGCAGTAGATAAATTTATATGCAGGTATTTATTTAGGTGGTACAGTTCTTCCTTCCTTCCTTCTTACGGCTAGTTCTCCAAAATAACGTTTTTCTGTTGATCGCTGTGATGCTTTTTTGTTTATTAATAGTTTAAGATTTTAGTTAATTTTGCAAATAAGAAATCATATGGGAATGTATTTTTTCTTATTGTCCCTCATTTTCTGCAAGCGGAATAGAAAAACATTAAATTTAAATAATATTATTATTAAAATATACCTGTAAATGAACAAGAAAAAATATATATATTAGTTAAACTATATTATATCCGTGCAGTGACGGAGAAACATTTTCCATTCAAGTTTAGGTAATAGAAAAAAAGTTATTAAACATTAATTCGACAAAACTGGTGTTAGGACACACCAGAGTGATAAATTTTTAGCAGTTTGCGATTTTTTTTATTCACTTATTATTAAGTTTGGCACCATTATGTATAAGTCCAAGGTATGCTGCATGCCAAACTACAATATTTTAAATTACAAATTTATTCTAAGAAACCTACTTTCTCCAAGCAGATACTATTTTTTTTTCGTTTGGAGAACTAGCTTATGTATTAAAATATAGCTCTAATCACTAGAGCAAATGCAAAATATCTGTATAACGAGTTCAAGTGAGAAAACACGCTTTTAAAACAATTTGTTCATGGCAAGGGGGTCGATGTATAGAACATTTTTAAATTTAAAAGCAGATGTTTAAATCTAAATAAAATGTTACTAGAAAAAAGTTCACTCAGTCAAGGTTTCTGACGGTTTAAACATCTAGCAGTATTTAACTAGCTTAAAAATCTTAAAAGTAGTTTTTTGTACTTACGATCACACATCATATCGATTGCTGGTACGAAATACTGTTCGCACACTGTACCCAACAGTAGGAAACAATATATGGCCAAGATGCAGTGGATTACGATAAATCCCTGAAAAGAAATTAGAGTTTTTATATTTTGGTATACTTTTATTATATTTTATGTTACTTATACTACGTGAATTTTGAGTTAGGTTCCTGAGAAACTTTAAAATATTATCAATAAAAATAGTGAGAACAGTAATAAACATAAAAGTACACGTACTGCAACCCCATACAAAAATATTGATTTACCGTTGACAAAATATCCTAATAATGACGTCTATATACGAGTAGAATTACTATTTGTTTAAAGTACCTACGTAGATCCTAAATGTAGTTTTATTTGAGTAAATTTATATTAACTAAAATTGTTATGGTTTCATAATTTCACAATTATTGAGGTATCGTGGGGACTGTCTTCGAAAAAGATATATAATATTTTTTTTTCGGAAATAAATTTTGAACCGTTGTCTGAATCTGCTAGTAAATTTTCTCAGGTAAATCAAAATTCACGGTGTATACATTTCATATTCGACATTCCATCATTTTTCAATGCAAGGCTGAGCGATACGCATGTCAATTACCGAGTTTCGTGTTGAAATTATTGCTTAAAAATGCCGAGTTGTGCGAGAAAATTTGCCGAAATTAAAAAGGACGCATAAAAACAACCAACAAAGTCATTGACCATGGATAAGTAACTCATTATTCACATTAAAAATATAAAATTGTAACATCATATTAGTTAAAAAAATTACGACTCCATCTTGACATTTTCAAAGTGATATCAGTGTCTCGTTACAAAATTCCCCAAAAAAGTAAGTATGGCGTAATGAACAGTAAGTATAGAGTTCCAAAAATCAAGAAAGAGCTTCGATTAAACAAATACTGATGATGAACAATTGAAGTTTGCAATTTCTACCTGTTTTCAGGGGCTTGACAAAATGTATTTTTTTTGCGAAGCATTTTTAAACAACTCTTTTAAATAAAAGGTTGAAATCTACACGATATCGATACTTTAATTGTTGAAAGCAAAATTCTATTAAAATTTTCTTTAGATTTATACATCTAACAGTTAGATGCTTAAAATAAAAAATACAACAAGTTCAAAACTAGTTAACGGTTTGTTTCTATTTTTATTTTGGCTGTAGTAAATAGTTATTTACCAGGACATTAATGTTTTTAAAAAAAGTATAGCAATTTTGACCAAATGAATTGCTTTAATTTAATATTTAAGTGTACGAAGAATTACACCTTTAAAATTATATTTAATTAGAAATCTCTTAACTCCATCCCCAACCACATAACCTCCACTCAGGATACCCTCTCTGCGATCGGAGCCCTTTCGACCCATCTCACTTCCGCAATAAGCGAGGAGTCCCGGCAGGTTCCAGCGATGCCAGACCATCGCTGCAACCTACCGGACGACGCTAAAGAGCTGTGAAGGGCAAAGAACGCTGCCACTAGGGCATTCTCTATGCCTCCCCTGACCAAACCTGACCGATCGATCGCGTTTAACGACGACGAAAAGACTGAATGCCTGGCTGACAGCCTGGAGGCGCAGTGCTCGTCTAGCACTCTCCCCGTCGCTCTCGAATACGTCCAGTTAGTCGACTCGAAAGTCGAAAAGTCCTCATCCGTACCGCTCACCGCCACCCTTGAGCCGGTCACTGTAGATGAGGTGCACTCGTTAATCCGTAAACTGCGCCCGCGTAGCGCCCCTGTGTCCGACGGAATCTCTAGTAAGGTCCTTAACATCCTACCCGCCCAACTCCTTCGCCTTATCATCGCGATCTTTAACGCGGCTATGACATACGCGATATTTCCCGCAAAGTAGAAAGAGCGGCGCCTTACCCTCTAGCTACCTCCCTATAAGTCTCCTCAAAACGCTAGGGAAACTTTACGAACGCTACACAGCTAGCATACTTGCACACTAGCTTAGCATTAGGCAGACATCGTACCTGTAGGATAAGAGTGCGAAGACGCGGTCTACACACGACACGCTATACCAGGTACAGGTACCTCGCGTTTTCCCTGCCCCCCAAGACAACGGCTAACTAGAGTCGAGGTCCATGTCTCAGAGACGCACTCTAGTTGTGCCGATCCCCTCAGGTTCGAGTGGTCTAGAAGCTTCAGACGAAGAGGAGACTCCCCTCGTGGGGAGATGCCATCCACCTGGAATACCTCTAGAGGCACTCGCCAATTCTCGGCTTGAGGTTCCCTAAGGATCTCGCCATCCCCAAACCCGGTAACGCTGTAAAGGTCATCTGCGACCAACAGCATACTAACTCTTAAAAAAACCCGAGGCACAAAGAATGACATTTCGCGAGTGTAAGATACAGGATTCGCGTGTTTTGTTTTGCGGTGTCACGCACATAAGTACATAAAACCTGGTCTGTTTTTACTGAAGTGTTTACAAGGTGACGCTCTATCTAGAAAGTAAATAATCAAAGTTTGACTGTAACAAATAACTGTCCAAGCGAGACTAGTTAAAGTTATAGGAAAATTTATTTACGAACGAAACACTAAAATAACGGTTTTCGCTTACACTTCGACGTTGTTTATGAGTCAACCCATCAGGCGGGAACTCCAAAATGGCGGCTGGGGTACAGTTCTTGCCGGACTCCGCTAGGCCGAGCAGATGGCGGGTCGAGAACGAATCTTCGAAGTCTGCAATCAACCAATTATTTAAAGGGATAAGTTTAACAACATGTCTTTGTTTTAAAATTTTTGGATATTTTAATCATTACCTGTTCGCTGTAGTACAAATTCGATCAAAAAACATTAGATATGACACAATTTTTAAATATAAATAGCACAACGAAATGCAAAAACAAATGATATCAATTTTTCGGAACAGTTCCTTTTTGAATAAAATTATAACGTGGGAGCGTATATTATAGACGCTGTCACATAAATGAAATTTTGTCAGAATCTTTGTATATGGACTCCAACTCCAAAGCTTCCTTTACAAAGGCTACGGATACATGATTTCTTAAGCACGGCAGAGCTCGAGTCGATACGACCTCAAATGACAATGCCAAAGTACATTATACCACAATTGCAGAAAGAACGTGTTATCCATTGCCACATCGAGCTTTAATAAAGTGCCGTTACTAATATCTATTACCTATTTAGTGAGTAATTTTTAGTTTAGTTAGTTTTTCAGTTCGGTTTTCGCACTTAGTCCTAATTATTGGTCTGTTTACTCCAGCCATATATTAGTCCAGAAGGAAAGCAGCCTTGGTAGACTGCTGCAAGCTTCCGGAAAGATTTTGGTGACTGGAGATGTCGTGCCCGTTGGGCGGCCACGCTCCTACATTCCATGATGACATGCTGTGGCTCCTATTGTATATAGGTGTTTGTTTAGGGACAATGACCGGTCAGGGTTCCGAAGTTTGTCCCTATTTAGTCTGGTAAGGGTTCGGGCAAGTTTTTTGTTTGCCGAAGGAAACGCGTTTTTCGTTTGCCGGTACTTAGGGAGTAGATAATATAAATATGCATATATTGTTTCTAAGTTAGATCGTTAATATGAGGAATTACAGATATAAAGCCGCCTGTACCCTTAGCACCAACCAATATCGAATTTGAACAGTTGAATTGAATTGAATGAATGAAAATTTGAACAGGCGCCACAACGGACGTAATAAGAATTTAAAGTCTTCCATACAAAACTAATTGACATTTGACGCGTATCCAGATCGCGTATCGCATTCAACTATTCGAAGTGGATATTGGTTTCTGCAGACTGCTAAGGGAGCTCTCAGTCAGTTTCGTTTTACTGGCGGATTTGTCTCATTTATCTAGTTTTTCAGAAAATATTTTACAAATAGAAATCTATTTTATTTTTAATAAGATTTTGAATTTTACCTGGTGCTATTATATTGCTTTCGACTACTACCCCTCCGCTGGCGCTCTTCACGGTTCCAATCGCACACACAAACACAAAGTAAATAAAAGGAATTCCGACAAAAAATGAAACTCTTAACAAAAATGCAATTTTGTTGTCGCACTCGCGTCTAGTCCTTATCAACATTTTTGCCATTTAGAAATAAAATTGAAAGTTTAAACTTCGACTAGAATTTTTGAAATATTATGTAGGTGAATAAAATGATTTTTTTCAGTAGTCGTCAAATGAAAAAGTCGAATATTTTGCTGTATATACAGCACAATAGCATTAGTACAAGGTAACTTTTAATTGATGCATGTATAAACATGTAAGCGTGCTCTTTGTTGGATGATCGTAACACCACTGTTTTCCTTGGCATCTTCAGTCCCCGAAGCAAAGTGCGGTATCAACAAATATCATTATTGGAATATTATTGATATCTTCGTTATCAGCGCAACTGCAAACAGTAGGCGCCGCTGTAAAATCGACACAGGTAGAACCGAAGGAACAGCCACTGAACTGATAATAATAAGTACTTATCTATATCACGTTGTTTCTCTATTAATTTTAAATCACATATATGTATTTGAAGTTTTAACTTAAATTCAGTGGGTCTTTGAATTACAAACGGGTTGTAAAACATCAGGGGTATTCCATTTTACCTTAAGTAAGTAATTAAGTATAATAACATAATTCTTTTAAACTTATTTCTGCGTACGATGGAGAGTTACTAAATGGGGATTAATTAATCCAGATTTTATTCCAATTATAGAAAAAAAAGAATAATAAAGCTATGTTTTAAGGCCCCGGGTCTAGAAAATAAACTTATCACGTATATTTATTTAATCTTATAACACGTACACCCCGACAAACTTCTCGAGCAACGGCGATGGACAAGGAAGCTTGCGCAGAAGTAAATAGAAATACAAAAACGTCTACTGCGCAAGTTCACTTGCCTGTTGTTTAGCTCAAGAAGTTTGCCGCCACCTATACTTAGGTATAAATGTAAGCGTTTTTGAGGTGTGACTATGTAACATATGTCTTTTTTTTTTATATGATTAGGTAGGCACATGACTCTACCCCACCTGATGTTAAGTGGTGATAAAGTCCAAACGCGAAGATAGCTGGTACATCAGTTATAAACTGTTACACCAATCATCCTAACCTTGCCGGGCCGCAAAAATGCTTCTTCACGCCTCTCTTAAAGGACCCCAGATTATAGGAAGGAGGGAACACGTGCGCGGGCATAGAATTCCACTTACGAATAGTACGACAAAGAAATGAGTCGCCAAATTTCTTTGTTCGTGTAGGAATAGTGGCTACAGTAAGTCGGTGGCAACGTAGGCCAGCGCGCGTGATCCTCTGAAGAAAAGGTGATGGAGGGATAAGCGAGAATAGCTCCTCAGAACACTCGCCGTGGTATAGTCGGTAGAATGCGCTTAATGATGCCACATCACGGCGTTATTGTAGAGACTCGAGTTTCTTAGTTACCTCTTCATCGCCAATGATGCGGGCAGCGCGCCGCTGCAACCTATCCAAGGCATCGAGTAAGTACTTAGCGGAGCCATCCCAGAGGTGCGAGCAATATTCCACGCAGGACCGCACTTGCGTTTTGTACAACAAGCACAGTTGATCGGGCGTGAAAAAACGCCGCACCTTGTTCAGGACTCCGAGTTTGCGTGAAGCTGCTTTGATCAAGGTCTCGATGTAGTCCTTTGGATTCAGGTCTGAGCGAACCTCCATACCGAGCATGGTAATATAGCTCTGTAGCGCCAGTGTTGTGCCCTGAAGAGAGGGAAGGGGAAGGAATGGCGATGTTTTTGCGTGGCGTGAAAGCGCAAGCCTGAGTTTTCTTGGCATTGAACTCAACCAAGTTCCTGGTACCCCATTCGGAAATGTGGTCCAAAGCCCGATTGAGCTCAACGACAAGATTCTCCCGTTTCTCCATGGTTTCTACCTTTCCAGCCGCCGCGTGTCCAAAGTATCTCGCATGCACTGTGCTATCGTCTGCATAGCAATGAATATTCGCAAGTGGAATCAAATCATTGATATGCAGCAGAAAGAGTGTGGGGAATAGAACGGAGCCCTGAGGAACACCGGCATTCACTGACATGAACTGTGAACTACATCCGTCCGTAAGGACGCGAATTCTACGCTCATGCAGGAAGTCAGCTACCCAGGCGTAGAGCTGAGCAGGCAGACCGTATGCGGGCAGCTTGGAGAGAAGGCTTTTGTGCCAGACCCTATCAAAAGCCTTGACGATGTCAAGGCTAATAGCCAGAGACTCTCCCCACTTGTCTATAGCTTCACCCCATATGTGTGTCACGTACGCTAGAAGGTCACCCGTCGATCGATTCGGTCTAAATCCGTATTGACGATCGCGAATTAGAGAGTAATCTTCTAGGTAGCGGGTCAGATGGTTGTTAAGTACCCTTTCTAAGACTTTACACAACACTGAGGTGACAGCTATCGGCCGATAGTTGGCCGGGTCTGAGCGGTCCCCTTTTTTGGGCACCGGCTGCACATTGGCGTCTCTCCAAGCTTCCGGCACACGCCCCAAAGAGTAAGAGAGTTGGTCCAGGCGCGTAAGCACGGGAGACAACTCCGCTGCACAATGTTTAAGAACAACTGCTGGGATGCCATCAGGTCCACTAGCTTTCCGGACGTCGAGTGATTGCAACTCCGCACGAACATCACGCTGCCTGATTTTAATGTCAGGCATCGTAGTGCCACAATGAGGTAGTGTAGGTGGCAGTGCATTGCAATCACTGATTCGGGAGTTAGACGCAAAGAGCTTTGCCAACAAATCGGCTTTCTCTTGCGGCTCATGAGCTAGTGACCCATCTGGACATCGCAGAGGTGGCAGCGAGGGCTGGCAAAAGTTGTGTTGCACGGCCTTAGCCAAACGCCAAAAACTACGGGAGCCCGTAGGGAGCGTTAACAATTCGTGGCCAGTACGTGCTACACGTTGGGCATCCGCTCTGATGTAAGCCTTCTTACAAGACTTGGAAGCACTATTATAGGCAGCTTTCAGTGAGTTAACCCCGGGATCCTTAAGAGCGCGGCCTCTGATCCAAGCGCGATATGCCGCCTGCTTACGAGAAACAGCATCGGCACAATCGCGATTGAACCAGCGGTTACGTGTGCCCTTACTGATGAGATCAGAATGTGGAATGTAATACTCCATTCCCATTACGATCTCCTCAGTAACGGCAACGGCGCTGGATGATAGGTCCTTTTCATTGAAGCAGCGCTGCTTCCAAGGGACGGACGCAAAGTAATCGCGCATACCATCCCAATCTGCCGACCCATAGTGCCAGACCCTGCGTTTGACCACTAATGGTCGAGGGGTTTTGGCCTGTGGCACCTTGACAGATATCAGGCAATGGTCTGATGAACCCAGCGGGGCTCGAACCACGACCTGATACTCCTGCGGATGGGTCGTAAGCAGAAGGTCTAGTAAAGAAGGCGCTTGACTTGCTATATCTGGGATCCTGGTGGGCTGATCAACCAGTTGGGTCAAGTCATGCGTGAGAGCGAAAGCATGGGCAAGATCCCTGCATGGTCAGTTTTGGAAGAGCCAAGCCACAAACCGTGGTGGGCGTTAAAGTCTCCCAAAAACACCAGTTCTGCGTTGGGAAATTGCGCCTGGGCATCATCTGCTACCCTACTGAGGTGGTCAAACAGTCGAGTTATACATTATAATTATACATGTACCGCCAACATAGAAAAAAAGGAGGGGTCTTCCAGGCAGCTCAAACGGCGACAACAAACATCCGCCCGAACATACAGGCATACGCCGGCTTTTGCTTTGAACGATTCTTCAAGCGCGTAGCCGGGATATTTAAGGTAGCCTGTGTCTGCGGGCGGAAGTATTTGTGTCTCCGTGAGAAACAATAGTGCTGGCCGTGCTGTCTCGAGATGGTGGTGGACAGCATTGAGGTTAGAGTGGAGTCCGCGTATATTACAGAACTCAACCTCAAACAGCGCGGAAGGCGTGGGGGTCTGCACCGCTGTACAACCAAACTTTATTTTACGGGCTGCCATCATGAGAAAAAAGTTGAGAGACGTGAATCGAGTGGAGTTAGTCGCGACAAAGACAGGCAAATATATGGAGGCACGTTTTCCCGAGTAACTGCCTGCGAAAGAGATACGCCGACCCAACGGACGGAAGGGCCCGCGCACCCTCCCGGGAGTGGCCGCCGGGACCCCACGCCCCGGTCACCCCGAACCGGCACGACGGTCCACCCCGAGATTATGCGTGACATGATAGGGCAGCCTCACAAACTGGTTAGGAACGCTCGGGCCCCTGTACTGTGCCACGGGCGGCCAGCGGGACAGCCGTTTCTACGGGTCTCCGTGGCCGGTGGGTCGATGCAGTCCTCCCGGCATCGGTTCGGCGGATGCCTCCACTGGACCGAATCTGTCGCGGCAATCTCCACTCGAGCTCTGGTTGTACGCTGGCTGATCCCGAAACGCGGGTGAAGCACTTCACGGGTTTTTCACCATGCGTACGGTGGTAACAAACCAGGCGGGTGTTAGGCACCCTACCACCAGAAGAGCAGATGGAAGCTCTGATATCCCTCAGTCGCTTCTTACGACACCCGCGGGAAGTGAAGGGGCGGTGAGTGGTATTCTTTCTCCGTCACCGCACGGATCTTTACTTGACTACTATAAAATACATTTTACCTTTTGGTTATTTACTTTCTAGATAGGGCGTCACCTTGTAAACACTGCGACAAAAACACGCATTCGCTCTCACGCATGACTTGAAGCAACTGGTCGATCAGCCCACCAGGATTTCAGATATTCCAAGTCAAGCGCCTTCATTACTGGGCTTTCAGGTTGCGTTAAGAGCCCCGTTGGTCTCGTTGGATCACTGCCTGATATCTGCCAAAGCGCCACAGACCAAGCCTCCGCGTCCAACGGTGGTCAAACGCCGGTTCTGGCACTATGGGTCTTCAGATTGGGACGGTATGCGTCCTTCTTCTGCCAGCCCTCGCTGCCTTCTCTGAGATGCCCAGATGGAGTACAAGCTCATAAGCCACAAGAGAAAGCCGATTTACTAGCAAAACTTTCGGCTAACTCCCGAGTAGATGATTACAATGCACTGCCACCATCATTACCTAATTGTGGCACAAAGATGCCTGATAAATAAAATCAGGCGGCGTGAGGTTCGTGTCAAATCGCAATCACTCGACGTCCTGTGATCTTTGATGTATTTTTTACAACAAGTCCAATCAGCATATTTATTGTGTTGTGTTTCTGGCTTCACAGATTATATAACTCTTGTGCTAACTGTTAAGATTACTGGTGTATGGTCTGAAAAACTGTCTAACTACACTAAGGTTATTATGGATACTAAGTTTTAATTGCCATCCCCGGGTAGT